ACATAAAAAAAGCACTAACCACAAAATTAAAAATTGATAAGTTGTACTTGAAAATTCAAAATGCCATTCTTCAAAAAAAAAAGTTAAGAAAATAAAAGGGAGGGGAAAAAAAGTACTCTTAAAATGTATCTGAAAACAATCAGTAGACAGAATATATATTTTTTAAAAACTCCTACAATAAGAAAACTGCCCAATTCTAAAAATGGGCAAAACATTTAAACAGACACTTCATAAAAGAAGAGATATGTGTGGTTAGTAAGAAACTATTACTGATATCATTAGACATCATGGAAATGCAGGCTGAAATTGAAGAAGTGACAATACCAAATAGGAACAATTCAAACTTGAACTCTTATCTTGCAGGTGGAATATACAGCCACTTCTGAAAACAGTTTCACATTTTTTTTTTTTTTTTTATAAAGATAAGCATATACATGGGGCGCCTGGGTGGCTCAGTTGGTTGAGCGTATGCCTTCGGCTCAGGTCATGATCCCAGGGTCCTAGGGTAGAGCCACGAATCAGGTTCCCTGTTCAGATGGGAGTCTGCTTCTCCCTCTGCCCCTCTCCCAGCTCGTGCTCGCTCGTGCTCACTCACTCTTGCTCTCTCTCTCTCCCTCAAATAAATAAAATCTTAAAAAAAGAAGATAAGCATATACTAACTAGAATTTAAATTAAAAATTGAAACAAAAAAAATTTTAATAAAAAAATAAGCATATATTTAACATAAGACCCTGCAATTGCACTCCTGGGTATTTATTCAAGAGGGGAAAATCTACACAGTGACTTGTACCTGAATGTTCTGAGCAGCTTTATCCATCATAGTAGCCAAAAATGAGAAAGTAGTCACACAATGGAATACTACTCAGCAATAAAAAGAAATTACTGATACATGTGATAATGTAGATACATCTAAAAAATATATTATGCTGAGTTAAAGAACTTTTGCAGTGTGACTGTGGTTAAAAACAACAGTCACTCTCATACATTGCTGTTGGGAATCCAAAATGGTGTAATCCTTATGGAATGTGATTTGACAATATCTAACAAAAACTACATACACATTTACCCTTCAACCCAGTAGTCTCACTTCCAGGAACTTATCCTGAAGGTACACTCCCAAAATATAAAAATATATATTCACAAGGTTATTCACTGCAGCATTATTTTAATTGCAAAATACTGGAAACAACCTAAATAATACCTATACATAGGCTACTGCTTGAGTAAACTATGGTATATGCACATAATGGAAACTATGTAAAAAATAAATGAGAAAGGGGCTAGGGGAACAGCAAGGTTGGTTACCTATGTGAACTGGGGGAAATGGGATGGAAAGGATACAGAAGGGAAGTGTATCTTTTGTATAATTTTAACTTTTGGAAATATCCTTTTTTTCTATAAATTCAAAAATAAAACCAATCAGAATGAGAAGGAGCATTAAAAAAACTGGGAGCACATGGGTAGCTCAGTCAGTTAAGCGACCAACTCTTGATTTTGGCTCAGGTCATGATCTCAAAATCTTCCAGCTCCCATCATGGAGCCCACTTTAAAAGGGGGGGGTGCACATGGGTGGGTCATTCAATTAAGCACCCGACTCTTGGTTTCAGCTCTGGTCATGATCTCAGGGTCAAAAGATCAAACTGCACATCAGGCTCCATGCTACACGCTCAGTGGGGAGTTGGCTTGTGATTCTCTTCCTCTCCCTCTCCCTCTGCTGTTCCGCCTGCCCCTCTAGCTGCCCCTTCCCCCTTCCCCACATAGGCCTGTGCACTAGGGCGCTCTCTCTCTCTCTCTCTCTCTCAAAAATAAATAAATATTTTAAAAATCTTTTAAAAAGATTAGAGTCTTTAAAAAAACTGAAAAACAAATGAACCTAATTACATTTCCAATGAATACCATTAACTACCTTATACAGAAAGTTGGGAGTGAGAAGTCAAAGTGCAGAGGAAAGGGAAAGCAAGAAAGGAAGAAGAAAAGGTTGATTCAAGTAATTTAAGAATACAATATTTATTTATTCATTCTCAGTCTTGGGCAGGATGGTTGTAAGGCAGTGAAGAACTACATATAAATTCTCCACTTTAAGTTTGTTTACTGTGGTGAAATGGGCAAAATGACTCTGAAATTATTTGGGATGTATTATAGGATAGAGTAAATGAGTAAGTGCACTGACAATGTTGGGAGCCAAGGTTTCTCACAGCATAAAATGGGACATAAAAATATGAAACCGTAAGTGCAGAGAAAGAGCCTGTAGACAGGGAGTGAAGCTGGACATACTGATATAAACTCATGATTTCTAAACTATGTATATGCATGTTGCTACGAATGTGTTTATGTACAAGTATGTTGGTGTATGCACATATGTGTGCATAAGCATGCATATTTTACTAGCTTTTGTCCACGAGCAATGAGGACACCCCCCCCCATCCCCGCAACATCCTAGTCTCTAACACTTTCCTCCCTGTAAGGACAGAGAGACTGATTAAGAGTTCTACTTATTCTAGGGGGCACCTGGGTGGCTCAGTCGGTTAAGCGACTGCCTTCGGCTCAGGTCATGATCCTGGAGTCCCGGGATCGAGTCCCGCATCGGGCTCCCTGCTCAGCAGGGAGTCTGCTTCTCCCTCTGACCCTCCCCCCTCTCATGCGCTCTCTCTCTCTCTCTCTCTATCACATTCTCTCTCTCAAATAAATAAATAAATCTTTTAAAAAAAAAAAAAAGAGTTCCACTTTCTATCGCTTAAATATTTATTTAAAAAAAAAAGAGTTCTACTTTCTAAACCTAGGACAACTGAAGCATCAAAATAATTAGGTAGAGTAATGAATTTATGAACCGAAAAACCTAGTAATTCATGAGTCCAAACTGACAGACAGGGCTCTTGATTACAGAACAATATCAAGGGCTGACTCATAGTATAAACGGAATGCTGGAATCAGAAAATAACCATTTTGGAACCAACACAGTGAAAAATAAGATCAGATAAGAATCATCAACGAATGTTAAATCTGGGGCAAATTGTGATGAGAACCATGGTATTTGCATTGTCTCCCTACAAAATGCTTATTGCATGGAAGGAAAATAAACTATACAGTGGAGAAATCTGGCAACATCTTGGCCAAATAATCCATATTAACATCACAAGAAGGGACAGAAGAAATCATGTGTCTCCAGAAGTTGTGCATCTTTCTCAGGATGTCACATCACCTATACAATATTCCAGCCATGAATGCATTACCTCAAACTAATCACAAGGAAACTTCAGAGAAACATAAAATGAAGAACATTCTATTAAAAGCGGGGAAGGGCTGTGTTCTTCAAAAATGTCAATACCATAAAAGACAAAGGCTATGGAAATATTCCAGGAAAAAGGAGGCTAAAGAGAAATAAATACAGTAAATGCTGTACCCGACCCTAGACTGGATTCTGTACAGGAAGCAAAGGAAATGCTGTTAACAGACTTTATTAGGTCAACTGACCAAACTGGAAGACAGACCATACATTTGTGTCAGTGTCCATTTATGAAGTTGGTAACTGTACAATAGTTATATAAGAGAATGACCCTATTCTTAGGGAATACAGAAGTATTAGAAGAAAGAAGCTCAATAAATGTAACTTACCCTCAAACAGTTCAGAAAAGAACTATGCATGCATTTAGAGAGAGGGAAGGAAAGAGTGAGAGCACACACAGATGCAAATGGTAAACAAGTGGGTAAATCTGGCTAAAGGATATCTAAATGTTCTTTATACTCTATTTTTGTAAATTTCGTAAATTGGAAATGACTTCCAAACAAAGAGTTTTTTTTTTTTTTTTAATAAATAGCATGGAGATAGTTCTCTACTATGTTCAGAATATAATGGGTATAATGGGTATATACCATAATTAATTGAAGGATTTTATTAGGGGAACAGCAAGAGCTGAGACCGGAGGTTTAGAGAGATTCCCAGATAAAGGACTGTTTCAAATGTCAGAGAAGGGAGTTTGTACTTTTTTTCTGTAAGCCAGGGAATGGAAACTCAAAGCTTAGAGCAAAACAGAGGCTTAATTAAAAGGGACATACTTAAGGAAATTTTCTAAGCAAAATTTCAAGTGCTAGAAACAGTAGATAAGAGGGAGTAAAGGGACATTTGAACAAATACAAGATCTTGGCCTAGGAAGTAAGATATTAGCAGAAAGTGGTACAAATACAGGAGACATGAAAACAGAAAACCAGATAAGGCCTGTTTACCAAAATACTAATATATCAAAGGGGCGAGGTGGGGGGGGGGCGGGGCAGTTCAAAGATGACTCAGATTTCAAGCCGAGCTAACCAAAAGAACGACAGTATTATTAACAAAAAGAAATTTAAGCAAAGCGTAACTGCTTTCTTGGCTATCAGACAACTTTTTCTATTCTCATTTCTCCTATCCTGGTGCTAGATGAGATGTTATATACCAGCACAAGCAATCTGGGGAAACTAGTCTTCACGGGGTGAAATAGTAAAAATAAGTGGGATTGATTCAGATTTTGAATAAACCCCATTAAAGTGTTCACACATAAGGGAAAAGGGGTAGGAGAGAGTAGTATCTCATATTAAACTGTAGCATACAGTTCCCTTCTTCCCCAAAAAAGTTATATTTGTATATATACACATATATATGAATATACATATATATCCACTTATTTCGAGACCATTCATTCAACTAATGCTATCATTAAAGAAAAAAACATGAGGGTGTCTGGGTGGCTCAGTCGGTTAAGCATCTGACTCTTGGTTTCGGCTCAGGTCATGATCTCAGGGTCACGGGATGGAGCCCAAAGCGCTTAGTGGGGAGTCTGCTTGAAGAGTCTCTTCCTCTGCCCCTCCCTCCACTCTCTCTCTCAAATAAATAAATAAAACTAAAAAAAAAGAGAGAAACATGAACTATGACACGAGTTTAAGATTAAATCATAAAAGGAAAGGTCAGGATCTTCAGAGGGTGTAGACAGAAAATCACAAAGGATGAAATCAAAGTAAAAGTGAATTACCTGGCTAACCAGTCAAATGACGTTCAAGTCGGAGCTTATTTTTATTGGTCTGTGACTCCACTGTTCAGCAAGTATTTTGATCCTGAAAACAAACAAAAAAGGGGAGGGATGGTATTGAATTTTATTGCCCTTTCTTTTTAATATAAGTAGTATTATTAGTTACACACAAGTTAATCTTCCCCATCATCCCCTTCTCTGGACATACGAAACAAGCAAAAACAAAACATGCTATATCAAGTACAAGGTCTTTTCCTAGGAATTTGAGATGATGCCTTATTTTGCCATGTAATACTGTTTCTGCTTATAAGTCAGGTATAACATATACAATATACCTTGTCACAGTTTATAAACATGGATAATGAAAAACAGGGGTTGAGGAAACCAACTCCAAGTCCTGAAAAGTAATCAAACCAGATCAGTAATGTGAATTTGGGGTGTCCCCACCTGTCCAAAAGGAATGCTCAACAAATAACAATTAAAAACAATACTGAGGGGCGCCTGGGTGGCTCAGTCGTGAAGCATCTGCCTTTGGCTCAGGTCATGATCCCAGGGTCCTGGGATCGAGCCTAACCTCGGGCTCCCTTGTTCGGCGGGAAGCCTGCTTCTCTCTCTCCCACTCCCCCTGCTTGTGTTCCTTCTCTCGTTGTGTCTCTCTCTGTCAAATAAATAAATAAAATCTTTTTAAAAATAAAATAAAAACAATATTGAGGGGCGCCTGGGTGACTCAAGTCGCTTCTGCATCTGCCTTTGGTTCAGATCGTGATCTCAGGGTCTTGGGATGGAGCCCTGCATCAGATTCCCTGCTCAGTGGGAAGTCTGCCGCTCCCTCTCCCTCTGCCCCTCCCGCTCCACTCGCTCTCTCACTCTCTCAAATAAAATCTTTAAAATATATTTATATATATATATCTCAATATCGTGGCAGAAGCTAATGCTTAAATATCCGAGTCCAAAAAGATAACTATCTACCAGATGGATGGGTGGATGGATAAAGCAAGCAAGCAAGGAAGAAGAAAAGGAAAAGAGAAGGGGAAAAAAACCATGGATGTTTTCCTCCCCTCTAGAAAAGACTGCACTTGGGTCACCAACAAGAAGTATTTTTAGGGGCGCCTAGGTGGCTCAGTCGGTTAAGTGTCTGCCTTCAGCTCAGGTCATGATCCCAAGGTCCTGGGATGGAGCTCCACATCAGGCTCCTTGCTCATCAGGGGCCTGCCTCGCCCCCTCACTCTGCCTGCCACTCCCCCTGCTTCTGCTCTCTATCAAATAAATAAATAAAATCTTTAAATAAAAAAAAAAGAAAGGAAATATTTTTAAGTGGGAGAGGAAAATGAAAGGCAATTCTTCAAAAATAATCTGCAATAAAATACATGAACATATAAACAGCTTTCTTGCACTTGAGGAAGTAGGCTCTGGTACAGCAAGAAAGTGAGCCAATAAAACATTCACCTTCACCTTACGAACTTCCAATTATAATAATAAAGCAACAATCTGACTACCAATAATTCTAGTGGTGTATATATATATATAAAGACAACAGCCATAACTATACCCTAAAGTTCATGCTGGAATTGGCAGGTCTGCTGGGAAGGGGTACAAGGAAAAACAATGTATTTACAAGTTCTGTATCATAGCCATGGCCAATCCGCATGGAGTATATAGGAACAACCAACCACAATCTAGCTGCGTCATGTGAAGGGTCTGTTGCACATCTGAAACCCAATTTAAAGGTGAGAAAATTGAGGGGTAGGAAGGAAGCTCATGATACGTGGTTCACAAAAGGATAGGAGGAAAATCCAGGTAGTGTATAAACGCCATACAATTAAAGTCTAAAAAAGAGCTATTATATCTACTAACATATCTATTTCTAATTACACTATAGTCTCTAGCTTATAAATGAGATGTCAAAAGGAAGTGGATTCTTGGAATGTATCTTCTAATCCACAATAATATGACTACTTGTTAGCATACAGTTTAAGAGCAGAAGCTCTGGAGTCCATCAGATCTAGACTCAACTCCCAGCTTTCACTTACTAGGTAGGTACCCAACTTAAAGACTTCTTTGAGCCTTAGATTTATGATCATAAAACAGGGATCAATCCTCTCAAGGTTCTTGCAAAGATTAAGTGAAAAAGCTTAAATTACTTATCAGTACCTGATACATAAATAAATGCTCAATAGATTAAGGGACCTCTGGGTGGCTCAGCCGGTTAAGTGTCTGCCTTCAGCTCAGGGTGATCCCAGGGTCCTGGGATAGAGCCCCACATCTGGCTACCTGCTCAGCAGGGAGGGAGCCTGCCTCTCCCTCTCCTCCCTGCTCGAGCTCTCTCTCAAATAAATAAAATCTTTTTAAAAATTAATTAAAACTATTACTAGTCAACAAACAACAATTTGACATCTAACTTAAGAATGTCCAAGTACATTCAAATAAAAATTAGGAAAAAAAAACAATCATTAGTTTTAGTGTTTAAATGAATTCAATGTTTTATTACTTGAATTTTTATGATATCTAATTTAATTAGAGGAAGATGAAGGGAAAAGCAGGCAGAACTTCTGTAAAGAAAGCCCAAGGCTTTCTGGCCTAGTTTTAAATCAAGTTTCATTTCAGAAATGGTTCTTTTGTTTTCCTCCTTTTTATGGGGGAAGGACAAAGGTTGTAGGGTAGGGTTAGTACCTACAGAACAGAGGGGTGGATAGGAAAAGGTATGAGTCAGAATGTACCTAGTACCATAAGCAGGAAACAAGTACTGCTGCCTACTGTGGAAGGTTAGCAAGAGAACCTAAATTAATACCAAAGGAGTGCTAACCCAAGCTAATCTATACCCCATAATCCCCTGGATCCAAAGAAACACCATCTACAAAATGTCCCCCTCCCAGGAAGTGTGCAGCTGGACTACAGTAATCCTCCAAAAGTCATAGATAGATCAATGACTGGCTTGCCTACCAGGACCTTGCCAGGGGTCAATAAGCTAAAAAGTACTATACACGAGGGGTGTCTGGCTGGCTCAGTCAGAAGACCATGTGACTCTTGATCTCGGGGTTGTGAGTTCGAGCCCCATGCTGAGTGTAAAGATAACTAAAAAAATAAAACTTTGAAAAATAAATAAAAAGTACTGTCAAGTAGGGGACCTGGAAAACTGCAGTTATCTAGAACCAAGATTCTGCAAAGCCAACAGTCCTAGCAGATTTCTTGGGACTTTATTCTTTACTTTTAACAAAGGTAAGCATATTCTTACCCCTTTTCGTAATTTGAACTTCAGTCCATCACACAAACAAAAATCACACTAACAAAAACTAAATAACATGTCCTCAAAATACTAAATATGGGCGGGGGGGGAGAGGTTAATTTTTCTACTAGAATTAATGAAAAATGTGACTGATGGGATCCACATTATCAAAGCCTGCATCAGTAGAAATCTAATGGGAAAGAAAAAAAAAATCAAACTGAGCTTTGTTAATAGCTAGTCTGAGAAGATGTGCCTCAAGGCCAGAACAAAGAATCAAACTGGGGGAGGGGAGCTGACAGAGAAGAAAATCCAAACTATATAATCCTGATGCTTAGAAACACTAACTGGGCAAAAAGAGGCCACTGAAGATCATGAATATGTTTTTCTTCTGCTGTTGAAAATGGAAGGGGGACAAGGACTCTACTATTAATCATATTAAGCTCATTTTTCCCAGGGAATCCCTCCTCAGTTCCCTAAAAAAAAAAATCATAGAGATGGGGATCACCCTCTTTGGGAAAAATCGGCTCTCGCCCACCCATCTCCAAAACACCAAAGAGTAAGTTTACCCATCAATTTCAAGGCAAAGGTTACATAAAATTGGTGTAAATGAAACATTATTTTGCAATTGAGATTATTTATCAAATACATAGTTGCTGTTTTGGGGTTTTTTTTTCCCAAAACTGTAACAACAGATTTTACTTGCAAGAGTCAACCCCAACAAATCTGTAGCTAAGCTGAAAGGGAAAAACCAAATATAAGTTAAAAATCATATGAAAATTTAAAATTATTTCTAGAGGTGCCACTTTTTTGGAGCTGTGTAAACTTACAATTTAAAAAAATTTTTTTAAATTTTTTTTACTATTAGTCCATTATTATGTGTTTTAATAAATAGTAAGTAAAAATGCATTTGGTACCCAAGTGTACATTGGTAATATATTGATGACAAACTTTTTTAAATACCATAATCTTTTTTACAAGGGAGGCAGGAATTATTTCAAATTACAGCATATACATGTTTAGTAAAGTAAGGACAGGGTTAAAAAAAACTAACAATGTATTACTACTTATCTCATGATACATACTAGAAAGGACTAAGCTGATTCATACTAATTTATTCTACACAGTCATTTAATAAATTACAATAAATGTTTAGTTCTATATGGAGTCAACCTGAAAACTGAAATGATGCAGTGAAAACAGAAGCCTTGCTTTCAGAAAACCTATGTTTTGGAAGTCCAGCTTCTTGAAGGGACCTTGTATGAGACATTTAAATCAACTAAATGCTTCCTGTGTACCTAGGAGATGACTGGCCTGCAGGAAGTATGAGCAAAATATGGTACCTATCACTAATTAGAAAAGGAGAAGCAGGTATCAATAGGCCAAAATGCAACTACGTTCATTCAGCAATATGTGATGAGCATCCACTCTACATGGCACCAGACACCAGCGATACAAGGAAGAACCAGAAGTTGAAGACGTAGAGTCCAATGAGAAGAGAGTAGAGAACTACCTTGCCTTTTTCGTAGGACTGATGTGGTCACTGTAAAACAAACCCAAAACCACTTACTTCAGCAAAGAGACAGACAGAATTAATGAAATTCAAATGTACAGATAATTTCTACAATTATTTTCCACAGTTATCGTAACTAAAATGCCTTTCTTTATAATAAAAAAGAAAAAAAACTTTTGTAAAATGTTAGCCATTTGTGTAAAAATTACATGAGACATAGGAAATATTAATGGGATATATAAAGGTTGCTGAAAATGAAAGCTATTTTTAACTCAACATATCCAGGAAACTATGCCATACACTTCGCTTACACAACAATACTATCCACTGATGAACAATGGCAGTAATATAA